ACATGGGAACACGTGATCAGTTTTTTTTTTTCCCCTCAAACAAAATAATTGAAGGGTTTTCGAAAAGATTAGATTCCTTTGTATGCAACATACTCCATTTGTTTCTTTATTACTAGAGAAATTGTCGTTACTTTTTTTTTTTAAGGTATCGTCATAGTTAATAATTATAAAATTAATATTTCAAAAAATTTGAATAATATTTATCATAGAACACATGTTTTTGTCTTTTTTATTAGAAAAATTATAAATTTTAAGAAATTTTGATCGTATTTTGTTATATATTTTTTTCATGTAAAGTCAATAATTATTTTCACAAGATAAATTTGTTACGTTGATTATAAGAATACTTTAGTCCAATTATTTTAATCTATAGTACATAATTATAATACCTAACTAACTAATTTTTTAAATTCCTAAAAATACACATTTTAACAGTCAGTGTTGGGAGATTATTGGTCTTGGAAAATGTCGCACTTTTTAAAGCTTTAAGATACCAATTGAACAGTTGAACCTTGTGGAATAGTTTAGGAGTGTGTTTGCACTTTATACTTATAATTATCATTTTTTTAGTAAGCGCGTAATTGATGAAGTTTGTTTCATATTAAGCACCGAATGGGGTATGCATAAAGTATTGATTATGGTTCGATAAAATGTTTTATTTATAACCGATCTGAATACGATTCCATTACAATGTTGACATTTAATCCTAAATCTTTGGATCAATATTTTGATTGGTTCAATGACTTATCTTATTTTTAATAATTTTAACACACCTTTACAGGAACGGTATGGCATTTTTTTTTTAAATAACTTTATGTTGATTAAGAATGAAAAATTACATTGAAGTCCCATACAAAAAAATTAATTACTAAAAAATTCATTAACAACTATCAATGACCTTTAATTAGTTATTAACAAACTTTGTAGTAATTAATTTATTTATGTAAAACCTAATTAATAAATCAAATATCATATGTACATCCAGCTACTTGGAGGTAGTCATTTAAAATAGAGAAAATTTTAGTTTAGATTTCCTGACCAAATATAATGAAAAAGAAATCCTCTAAAATTTTGAAACTCCTCTTCACACCAACGATAGAGAAATGAAATTAAAATGTTGATAGAAATAACAAAATTAATCGTTTTTTAAATTTAAAAAGACTTCTTTGTTCAACTGGAAAACACACTTAACGTAAAATCCATCACTGGCACAAACACCCTGACAAGCCATTGCTTGACAACTAAAAGCCCCACAAGGACTGGTTGTCCACCGCACAGAGCACTAGTCAGTTCGCTAGTTCTTGCGGGTCTTTTAGTTGTCAAGCGATCGCTTGCTGGAATGTTTGTACCGGCGATGGATTTCATGTTACGTGTGTTTTCCAATTGCCGGAATGATTTTTTTTTAATTATTTTAAAGGGTTAATTCTGTTACTTTTCTCAACATTTTAATTTTATTTTACTACCCTTAGTGTAAAGTGAAGTTTTAGTTCAAGGAGCCTTTTTGTTTTTTGTTTTCCTATTATGTTTGATAAAAGGTATAGACCGGAATTTTTCCTTTAAAATATCAAGAGGATACGTACATGATTCATCCATGATGGGTTTATAAAAGCGAGCTATCGGGGTTTGCAAATGGCTTAGTCAAGCAATTAGTTTAAGAGATATGGTTGTACGATGGGATCTCTTTTAGGGATATTTAATTATAAGGAGATTATAGCAAAGAGATAAGAGATTAGTTTTAATCAACTGTTCTATGGAACCTCGAATTAGGTGTGAGGTGCATATCAAGCGCCCAGATTCTCCTAAAGCGTAAACTTGAGAAGAATTCAAATTACAAACTAAAAAGCCATTTGCCATAATATCATATTAACGTATTGTTAGCGGAGAGATCAGAGGAGCCTTCTTTTTTTATTTAATTTAGAGCCTTTTTCGAGTATCCTAGCTGATCAGTTTCTGGAACACTAGGCCGGTTTATTCAGGTGATCAGTTTAATACTACCAAAAGTATGCGAAAGTGAGAGATTATCAGATTTTAAAGTTCTTTTCTGTTCTCTCTTATACTATTTAAAAGACCTGTTTTGTTTTAAGTGCTCTGCATAAATTCCTTTTAATTTCTTTCAGGTCGAACAAATTCCTTCAATTTCCCAGCACATGACTGGCTTCTTTTTATACTCTATACATTTGAGGAAAAGTCAACAAGAAAAACAAATATAAGATACCATATAACTTTTATACCTGTGTGTGTGTTTCTTATTGACTTAGTGAACCCTATTTTTTTTGGCCCCCGGAGGAGGGGGGGTGACTTAGTAAACCCAATCATTCCCGACAAATTTATTAAGTCAGGTTAGTTGGCTATAACTTCAAATTATGGAAAATTAGACTGTTACCAAAATTGACTAATTGAAGTTTAATAGTTCGTGTTTGACTATTATACATAACTAATTAAGTTATCATGCTGAATATGGAAAGGTCGTGGAGAGAATTCCTGATGAAAACTTGTTTGACAAATAACGAATTTATAAAATAAGGTGTTTTCTAAGATCTCCTTTGACTGGGAAAGATATGGCAACTGATAATATATTTTTATCAGGTCATGCAAAAACTAAATAGTAGAGGTCCAATCCAACTAAAATGTTGACATTGTTTTACAAGACCCCAAAAAAAAAAAAAAACAAGAGCAATAAAAAGAAGAAGAAAGAAGCCTAATAATAACAAATTATAATAGATCAAATAGAAGCGACATGCATGCATGCTTATAACAACAAATTATACTATTCGCTGAAAGTTAACACAGTTCGCTGAGCTGAGACGGAGATCAAACTCGCGAAAGGGAAAAAAACACTTGAGGCAGCAGTGAAAATAAAAACAGTGTCGCGAGTTCCAGGTTCTTTGAATAAGATTTAGAAAACCTAGAAATAAAAATTATTACCTTATTGGAATGAATTGGGACATGAGAGAGAGTGACAATATCATAAAAGATCATCTGATAAATCTAAATTTCAAGGAATATAAACACTGTGGAGCATAGTATGACAATCAAAATCAATCTATCCAATTGAATTGATAAATTATCAAACCACTATATTTTCTGGTTTAATAAAATGTTTCATGGTTTGATCACAATTTTGATAAATATTAACTCATAAACTAGTACATTAACCAGTTTGATTTTTAGTACCTCATTGTAGAGTGAAATACACTGTTTAAATAAATTTCGGTGATCTAAATTTTATTATTTTATTATAACATTGAAACTGTTATTACAGTTTCAAGATTTAGGATGAAGGTTATTGAAATTTAATTTTAAATACTGAACCATCCTAATCTCATTCAGGTGAATTATACAGATGTACAAAAGTGGGAATCAAATTCGATGAAATATAAAATTTGGTAAAACAGTACTTGATAAAATATCAATATTATGTGGCACTATTTAATGTTACATTGCATAAAATATAACATAATGTAATATATTATTTAAGGTAACCTGTGCTGAGTGCACTATTTACTTTGACTAGCACACTGTCATGTCTCATATCGGATGAACTTAGAAAAAATTCTGACTATATAAATGGGTGGTGCACGCTTTACTAATTTAACTTTTTAAAAAAAGAGTAATGATTCCGTGATAATAATCTCGCTTTTATTTCTCTCACACTTGGGTTCGGTGTGATGCTAGAAATGAATTCTGCATTTCATGAAGTTCAATAGCTGTAATTTTGTATTCATATAAATTATAACCATTACGTAACATCTAACAACTACTAGTATTTCTTATTAACACGGATAAATCATAAGTATGGTTAATATTTCATATTTAGAAAGACATTTCCCCCCTCTCACGCAGAGATTAGTCCCTTTACAGAACCTTGAAGATGTGTGTGAATCGAGACCTACTTAAAGTTCGAGACATAATTCAATCGCCTTGGATCTCACCCCAGGCCCCCCCCTTTTCTCCCCATATGACGCGTTTCAAGGAGCATCTCATGAAAACAAAAACCTCAATGTTTTATCCTGAAGCCATCTATTTTGAAGCTTTGTTCACACAATGTTTCATGGCTTCTTACCAGCAGACTCTACCTTGCAAACTCTGGGCTTGTGACGTGCATTATTTAAAAGGCACGGTCGAATGATTTGTTTAATTTATCACGAATTGAATCCTGGTATAGTTCTCACAGTCCCAAACAAACATCAGATCCTGTAAAATTTAACTTTATAAAAAGCTACGCAACCTAAAAGGCTATTTGACCCGTCCTTTCAACAGCCAAAACAAGCCGTGTCCTCGACCACGTGTTGGGGCAATTTTATTGTTAGCTAGCCCTTACTCTTCGCATCACTAATGGGATCACGTCAATGGCTTTCCATTTTATATTTAAAATAAATATATCATTATGAACTGACTCTCAGCAGAGAGGCCGACAAATGTCTAGTGATTCATGAGTTTTCAAATATTCATTTTTTCTGTATACTGTAATTATTTTTCCACACGCGAGATTAATTCTGTTTGAATTCGATACCAATCTTTAACAATGTTGTGATCATATTTCTAACCTGCTTCGAGCTGCTCCTCCTGTTGGGCCCGTTCTGTTATTCTTTCATCCACATTCTTCTTTTTCCCCCCGTGTTTCCTAATATTGGGCCTAGCCCTAACCCAGCTGCCATGTGTTCTCCCTCAACTAACTCCACGAAGCCGCTGGTTAAAAAAAAAAAAAAAAAGCACTCCTACGAAGAAGTTCAAAAGGAAAATTACTCAAACCAAACAACTTGAATTTTAAGTGACGTATATGGATTATCCAGCGTTAGTATATTTATTTAATCTACTTATAAAAAAAATTGTAAGAAATTCCATTTTAAACTATAAACAACATATATAATCAAGTTTAGTTTGATTTATCTGCAAATGTACAATACTCACTATAATACAGACACCCACACGCATATATATATATGGAATATAAAAAAAACTTCAACAAGTTATAAATTATATGAGTGATAAATAATACACATGCGATTTCAGGGGGTTAAAAAATTTTGGGTAGACGTCGTAGTACGGGCGAAGGAATCAATGTCAATAGTTTAAAAAAAAAAAATAACAATATAATATGCGATTTCCGCCGGGCGTGAACCCAAGGGGAATAGGATGAGGCGAGTGGGATCAAGTCTGGTGAAGTCTATCAATCCTTGAGCTGTGTGACTGTGTCAGGAGTAACCATGAACTCAAAGGTCATAGCAACCGTGCTCGCGGTCTTCTCCATGCTATTCGCCTTCAACTCTAAACTATTTTTCGGACCTCCTTCAATTCCGGGTTCTGAGGACCTGCTCCACACCGCTCAGATACTCCATGTCACCGGAGCTGTCGGGCCGGAGAGCCTCGTCTTCGATAGCAACGGTGAGGGTCCGTACACCGGCGTCGCCGACGGACGGATTCTCAAATGGCAAGGACAGGGTCGAGGTTGGACTGATTTTGCCTTTACCACTTCTAATAGGTAATTTGGCTCTTCTGTTTCGTACTTGGGAGTCATGTTGGATGCTGAGGAATATCCCCCTGATTTATGTATGTTGGGGGTTTTTACATAGACAATAGAGAAATTCCTAATCCTGCAACTGAGAGCATGATTCGAGGCCCCAAAAAAGAAAGAAAGAGAGCGGCCGGTGCCATCCATCATTCAATGGCATCGAACATTTTTTTTTTTTTGGGTTTTTTTTTTATGGTGGGGTTGGGGGGGGGGGACAAGTGGATCGAACTTAACCCAAAAAAAATATCAAAATCATTTTTTTTGGTCATTTTAATTTTTATTTTACCAAAACTTCCAAAAATCGGCTGCCAAACTAGGTCGTCGGCCGGATTGATTTGCATTCAGCCAGACAAGTTCTGAAATAGTCAAATTTGTTATATTTTTCAAACTTTATCATGAAATTTTCAAATATAAAAAAGATTGAGGAAATATATCCCATTGATACTCTTGCTCATTGCTACACGATATTATTTTATTTTCTTCTTGAAATTTATACAAAGCTTAAGTTGGAAATTTAGCGCGTATTTGGTGTGGGAAAGGAAAGGAATTGAGAATATTAAAAAAAAAAAAGAATGGTCAAGATATGAAAGGGAGATAAGTCAACCATATTCCATGAGAGGGGAAGATATTCAGTCGTGAGGTTAAGAGTCATGATTTACGAAGTTTCTGAAATGTAGGGTGATTATCATATTTATGGTATGTGATGTTGAATCTTATGATGCTCATTATAAGTGGAGGGTAAATCAGTTAACTTTTGTTTTTCTTAATCTGTTCTCATTTTAATCTGCTCTTATTACAATAGAAATTATTTGGTGGAAGAGTTTTGGTCTTCAACTCACCTTATTAAAATGGCTGAATGAGCCCATCTATTTAATTTGCAATCCACGGCGAGTTGACTTGGTTAACTTGTTAGTTGTCATCCATTTTGGTGGCTCTATAAAAAACCTTCAAGTGTCTGGTAAATCATGTCAGAATGGCCGGTTCAATGATGGAGCAGTCCAGAAAACATCCATCAACAACACATTGTTTCTGTCCAAAATAAAACAAAGAAATTTACTACAACAAACTGAGGAGTACGGTATATTTCCTATTAAATGATGATTTTCCCCTCAATACTCTATCTTTGGATGTATTTCGAGCTAGAAGCGTTGAAGTTTTTTCTTGTGCAATGACCCGTATTTAGATCTAACGTGTGATTTTATTATTTCATTGCTTTTGAAGGACCGAATGCAAACGTCCATTCGCACCAGAGTTGGAGCATATTTGTGGGAGGCCACTTGGACTAAGTTTTGACGAGAAAAGTGGAGATCTGTACATTGCCGATGCCTACCTTGGCCTCCAAGTTGTAGGACCTACAGGTGGTTTAGCCAAGCCTTTGGTGACACATGTTGAGGGTCAACCCTTGCGCTTCACCAATAGCATGGACATCAGCGAGGACCAAGACGTCATTTACTTCACTGATTCTAGCACAGTCTTCTACAGAAGGTAATTATATATATATATATATATATATGAAGTATCCCTTTCTTCCTACACGGTCACACTCCTCTGGCTTCTGCATTTCCTAAACCCTAATTAATGCATAAGGAGATGATGTTTGCTGTTCATGTCAATCTTCTTGAGGAATGTTCTTACCCAGAAATTTTCATGCCTCTAAACCGTGACAATTTTTGCTTGCAGGGAATTCATGAGTTCAATTCTTAGTGGGGACAAGACTGGTCGTTTAATGCAATATGATAAGTCGACCAAAGAAGTGACGGTCTTGATAAGGGGGCTTGCTTTTGCCAACGGAGTTGCACTGAGCAAAGATGGCTCATTTTTAGTGGTAGCAGAATCCTCTGCATGCAAGATCCGCAGGCTCTGGCTCCGCGGACCTAACACAGGTCAAGTCGACATATTTGCTGAGCTTCCTGGTTTGCCTGATAATATAAGAAGAAACTCCAAGGGGGAGTTTTGGGTGGCTTTGCATGCAAAGGCAAGTCCTTTCGCCAGATTGGTTTCTTCAAAGTCATGGGCTGGGAATGCAATGCTGAATCTTCCCCTTAGCTTCAAACATTTGCACGGATCGTTCACTGGTTGGAAGCCTCACTCCTCTGTCATGAAGCTGAGTGATAAAGGAGAAATATTGCTAGTGTTGGAAGATTGTGAAGGGAAGGCCTTGAGGTTTGCTAGCGAAGTGGAAGAGAAGGATGGGAAACTTTGGATTGGTTCAGTGTTAATGCCCTTCATTGGCATTTATGACTTGTGAGCTATGAGGGTATGACATTGTAACGTGCCCATCATAGAAGTGTGTGCCGCATTCATTAAACTGCTGTGTCTGGATGCGTCACTGCACCCTGGCTTCTGGTATTCAACATTTCCCTTTAAATTTAGCTTGTCGGGGTCTTGGACAGAATATTCCCGAACGGACCATTTAAGAAAAATGGACGTCTAATGAATTATTGGGGAATGCCATCAATTTTTGTACTGTCATGGTTGCAGAATGCGATTCACTCGAACAACTCTTCGCTTTTCAAGTAAGAGTAAATGTTTGGCCAAAAAAAGGTAAGGGTAGGTGATATAGACATAAATTATTGTCCGAATTATTTTTGTGAGGTTGTGGCTGGTTTGGCACAACAAACTTGTTGCTCTATTTCCGATGTATGAGTAGAAACAAAGGTTAAATGACGAAACGGTTATAAATAATCTTATTTATAAGGTATTTATCAATTTTAATAACTCTTTTTTCTATTTTTACCTTTATTAAATATTTTAAATAAAATAATAGTGATGAGATTTAAAAATATTTTGGAGGAGTAAAAGTAAAAATTTATTAAATTTTAAAATAAAATTAATGAGATTTAAGATTTTTTTTATTTCAGTATAATATATAAAAAATGACTTATAAATAAAATTAGAGAGTATGTTAAAAATTGTGATCACATTTCGTCAATCACCAAGCCTCATGTGGAGCGCATTTTTTGTCACAATTGGCATAAAAATAGGACTGACTGTTGAGAAAATCATTTCGAAGAATCGAAGCAAGTGGAGCGTTTATGTCACCAACATAAAAAATCACTAATAAGAAAAACCACCATTGGAAATCCAGCATGTCATTTTCTTTCCATGTATTCAAGTCTCTAGTTTGCAGGTGGGAGTTGTCACTATTAATTTATTCTTAGTATAAAGAGAACCTAATATCGCATATATTTAATTACGCATCAAGTGCAATTTACAGCCCTGCCTTAGTCTTATCCTCTCTCTAATTAATTATCCTCTCTCTCTCTCTCTCTCTGTGCGTGTGTGTGCAGCGATGAAGCCACGGCTGTACATGGCGGCAGCAACTGCCGTTGTTGTTGTGGCCTCTGTTTGGTATGCTCACAACCACGCCGGGCCATTCCACGTTGGAGAGGCTTGGCCACACGACGTTGTTCCGGTGATGGAGGATATTGGTGCGGCGGGGCCGGAGAGCTTGGCCTTCAGCCCCGACGGTCAAGGCCCTTACGCCGGCGTCTCGGACTGCCTTATCATCAAATGGGATCAGAATGAAAAGCGATGGGTGAATTTTACAGTCACTTCTCCACACAGGTCATCTCTATATATGCCTTGCCTGATCATATATGAGTGCTATGCTATAACACGCGCACACAATTATTCGTTTACGGTCTGGATAAAAAGGAGCCAGGTGTAATTGAGGGCCCCCCTCAAATTTTGAAACCCATGTATATGTGGTATTAATCTTCACCTCATGCCCCCACTTCTTTTTTAATTCGGACTCACCTTCAAACAGTTTCAATATTGAATAATAAATAATCATTATTTAAATTAGTAATACTAACTTTCTTTGTATTCATCCACTAGCATTTAAATATTCTTATTTTAAGTGTCAATCTTAACTTGTTCTACTTTTATATACGCTATTTATATTTAAAATATAAGACAAAATTGTTATTGTAAAAGTAATAATATTCATCCAAAATTTATATATGAAATGCTTTATTTTCTTGACATGATGTATTAAGTCTTCAATCATAATAAATTGTGATTAATATAAAATATTTACCATATAAAACCTTTTACGTTATAAATCATGTGTGTGTACAACTTTTATATAATTATTTATTTTTAAAAAAATATATTGCACCCTCTCTAATCTCGGGTCCTGGCTTCCTCAAGGAACTCTATGTAAATTGCTTGCCGCGTATGAGACTCTGTACGATTTCTATTTTTGCTTTGAGAAAATTATGAAAATTGAGAAATGAAAAGAGGGAGTGAATGGCGTGAGTACGGTTGGAGGGCTGCCAGACGCCAGAAGTAGATGAAAGCGTACGTGTTTGCTTACAACGGTGGCATGCTGGGTGGCTATGGTTTGTCTGGTTGCTTTCCAGCCCCACGATGATGGAATTGATTTCCCTATTCATTTCAATATATTCATTTTTAAAATAAAATTTGGTCCAATTAAATTTTTAATTTTGATAATTCAGAATTAAAGTATTATTATTATATTATATTTATTAAAATAAAAATTTATAAAAATTATAAAATAAATTTTATAAAATTTTATTTTTAATCCTGTTTAGATTTAATTTAGCGGGTTCAGTTTAATATTAAAATTTTTATAATTAATATATATTGATATTAAATTTAACCTGCTAAATTAAATATAGACTAGATTAAAAATAAAAAAATTATTAAAATTATTTTATAACATTTATAAATTTTTATTTTAATAAATATAATATATAATAATTCATTACATTTCGACCACAGATCTTCTCCCTGCTCATCTTTGGATTAGCATGAAAACTGGACCCCACGACGATAATGTCCCCTTCTTTTGTGATGCCACGTGCCACCTGGATCGGTTTCCTGGGGCCATCAGCATGACACTCATTGATTTATTTGCTTTTTTTTTTTTTAAATTAACAAAGTTTAGGTGAAATTGGTTTGACATTCTGCAACCCCACCTAAGAGTGCACTGTACAGTGCACACTAACAAGAACGACGTAAAGAGTAGCCTTCTTATGTCTGAAGATATATAATTGCTGACAGCGTAGGGAAGAGTGATTCTGAATTCTAAATTTGAATGCTATAAGTAATTAGTAGTATGAGAGCAGTAGATGGATCAGGCTACGATATAAACTGACAATGTCATAGGTTGGATTGGCAGAGAAGGGTGTGGTGGAATATCGCACGAGGAACATCGCAACACAGAGCACAGGTGTGGTCGACCACTAGGGCTGTGCTTCAGCCCAACCGGTGATCTCTACATCGCCGATGCTTACTTTGGCCTTCTTGTTGTCCCCTCCAGTGGAGGCATTCCCACTTGTATCACGTCTCAAGTGGAAGGCACTCCCTTGGCCTTCACCAACAATTTGGATGTCGATCAAACCACCGGAGTCGTCTACTTCACCTCCAGCAGCTCCACATTCCCCAGAAGGTATGATATATTCTGAACCTTGTCACTCTCATAAAGATTTACAGATGTTTGATCAGCATATGATGGCATGATGCAAAATGCAGGGATTACGTTTCTCTGATACTTAGCAGAGACAAATCGGGGAGGGTGATGAAATATGACCCAGCAACCAGGCATGTCAGCATTGTTCTGAGGAATGTGTCATTTGCAAATGGGGTAGCTTTGAGCGAAAACGGTGAGTATATTCTAGTGGTAGAGACGACCAAGTGCAGAGTACTGAGGTATTGGCTGGCCACGTCAAAAGCTGGAACCTCCGAAGTGTTTGCTGAGCTCCCAGGTTTCCCGGACAACATTAAACGCAGTCCGAGAGGGGGATTCTGGGTGGGAATCTTCTCGAGACAGGAGAATCTTGTTCGGTGGATTCTATCCTATCCCTGGATTGGAAAAGCCCTACTCAAGCTTCCTCTGGATGTCACGAAAGCGTATTCGTATTTGGCTAAGGTGAAAAGCAAAAGTGGATTCGCTCTTAGGTTGAGTGAAGAAGGTGAAGTGTTGGAAATGGTTCAAGGGAGGGGAAGAGGGAGATCAGTGAGTGAAGTGGAAGAGAGAGATGGGACATTGTGGGTGGGATCCGTGGATGCTCCTTTTGCTATCAAGTATCAGATTCCTGCTGCACGAGGACTGTATTAGAGACAAGACTTGATTAAAAATGATACCTTACAGTGAACAATTCTAGTGTTACGAGGTAACGATAACAAAGTTTATCTTTTGGGAAAGTTATAGTGTATGGGACTTCGCACGTTCTGGTGCTCATGTCCTTTCTTCTCAGCCAATAAAATCCACGTACAAACCCGTTGTGATTAAAAAGGGAAAAAAGAAAAAGCCTTATTTTGTCCTTGGTGTTAAATTAAAGTAGGAAGTAGGAACGCCACCCCTTTACCAGTTAAAAGTCAGAAGAATCATTTCTGACCTGTTTGCTAACCCTTAAAAAGCACGTTTAAATCATACTTGAGATATTTTTTTGTTAAATTCAATAAACAATTGGATCCTTAAAATAGATTTTTGTCCAGATATAAACTGATAACTAAATTCACACTTGCTTAATGCTTTCTTTCCTTTTTAATGGAAGCCCTTATGGAAGATCCGTGATCTCACTGTACGGGCTGGCAACTACGATGATATGCACATTCTAGGTACAAAGGCCACCATTGCGCTGCAAAAACTCTTGATGAACTGATTATTATTTTTTAATAAAGACTATTTCTACTGTAGAAATAAAAAGATTGCAAGGCAAGAGACGAGGTTGAGAATTTTTTTCTGAATTAAAGCTGTAAACATTCATAGGCTGAAAAAACACAGTTCAAGAAGCAAAACGAAAGAGCAAAAGAGCAATCAATCAAGTGGGCTTTCTATCAAGTGGGCTTTCTTGATAAGAGAGCAAGCATGACTAACAACGTCTCTAAAAAACAAAACTAACAAAAACATATAGTTTCTAAAAAGTAAATTACCAGCATTTTGAACAATCTCATAGCATGGACAGTTTTCATGGTGTCCTCTTATGATAAGATTAATGGCTTCTACATTGTCAAGGTAGGCCTCAATGTTTTTGAATCATTTTTTCAGCAGAGTTGTAATCCTTCAGATATAGCCAACATTTCAGTAATGATAGATGGATAGCTCCCTAATTTACAACACAAGCCTGCTATCTATCTCCCCATATCAACGGCGATGCAATCTCCACAAGTAGCTGTGTCATTAAATCTAGAAGAATCATTTACTTCTAGTCCAATAGACTCTTGTGAAGGCTTATGTTAAGTGTTAGTGCAAGTATTAGACAACTAAGTAGATTTTAGGTTTCTCTTTTTTGAGACAACAAGAGGCAAGCTAAACTTGAAAAAAGTTTAACAAAATAAAATGGGGGTTAAACAAAACATTGATCCTTAGGGGCTCAATGTTTTGAGCAGGGGCAGTAAAGCCATTTCAGGTGGACCTGTTTGACCCATTTTGGCCATGCAATCTGTGCATCAAATAATCTCTCCGTGAAAATGTTGCAATGTCACCCCCTCATTTAGGGAGAGGAAGTTTCTAATAAATGCTATGTCATCGCGCAATGGGTGATCCAAAGCTTGGTCACAATTCAAAGTATGGATGGTTTTCATGGAGTCTGAGTACATTTTAATCCTATTGTAGTTCAGTTGTTGGCAAACCTCCAGCTCTATTTTGATGGCTAAGATTTCAGCATTTACACTCTGACAATGACAATGGCCAAGGTTTTTGTGAAAACCCATTAGCCATTTTCCTTTGCTGAGATTTCAAGCTTGGGGAATTAACGTTAATATCACGTGGGCCCGATTAAAAGGAAAGGAAAGCTTGAATTTTCAAAGAGCGGCCCACTCACATGCTCATCAATTGTCAAATTTAATATCAGCACCACACGCTCTTGCATGGTCCTGTCCAACACCAAACATGTCGCTTTCATTTTCACTCTCATGGTCTGTATTGAACGTTCGCTGCCTGACAAGATAAATAGAAGCCTGGTCCTTCTCCTGCCCTTTTCCTACCCAGAATAAATCAAGATCAAAACTATAAATATATTTAGGGCAGAAATTTGTAAACCACTCCTCTAATCGTGTTCTTCCATGAAAGTGACATCTTGCTTTGAATTTGGAGATCAGATCATGCCAGTGTTTCGGATTTCCACGCAATTATCCTTTTCGTAATTGGCACCGCATGCTTATCTTCAAGTTTTGTTATCCATACACGACGCACACCGTTTTTTCACACAACACACGTCATCCTCTTATTCTTCATTGTTTGATAATTATCTTAATTTAGTACCCTTTCGAAACGAGTGTTTTCAGTACTGAATTAGTTCGTACAGTTACACACACGCAGACACAGAGACGTCACCGAATTATATCAGGCTTAGAAGATCTTCAACAGACTCAAGCATGCATTGCTACTATATATCTATATTCACAGCCTTGGACGTGATTTTTTTTTTTTGGCAGGAAAAGACAATTACTGCACGCTGCTTAATGGTTTTTTCACAGTTTTCCTTTTCCCTTTTTTTAGATTAAAAAAATAAAAAATATAATTTTTGATCCTTATATTTTACTTATATTTTGTTATAGATCTCTACACTTTTTTAAATATTTTAAGTCTCTCCAAGATCTCTCCCTACACTTTGTTCATTTAAGAACATAAAATGCACAAAATATATATATATATATATATATAAAAACAAAATACGGGTAAAACATAAAGATTAAAAGTTATGTTTTTTTTTAAATAACTTTTTTGGACTGTACTCCCTCCGTTTCTATATATAAGATAAAATAATTGCACCACACAATTTTAAAAAAATTAATTAACCATAATAATTATGTCTGAAAATAAAAAAGTTAAATTAAAATGCCCTATGTTCATCAACATAAACATGCGTTAATTATTTTTTGTTAATATAAATTATGAGAGGTGATTTAAAAAATATGTAATAAATATTTATTAAAATTTATAATTTTGTTTATATAAAAAAATAAATAAAAAGTAATAATTTTTCTTATAAGTGTAAAAATAGAGTAGTATTGAATAATGAATATATAAAGGCGTAAAGGGATGTGAAAACCGTCGTGACTTATTTTTATATTCGAATTTCGGCTTTGGAATTTGCATTACAAACTAATCAAATGGTTGCTTCAAACCTGAACTTAAAAACCATAGATGCCCCCGAGCATATCAGACGGATAATTCAGTGGCCCATACTCTCTCGCTTGACGCCGATGCGTTTTATAAATATGGCTGTTGCTGATACGTTCATATTTAAACTTAACAGAAAATTAAAGAAGAAGCTGTGAGTTTAATTTCTTTTTCTTTTTCGCATTTTTAATTGGTTTGTATTCGATTAAATTCGTGTTCCGGTCAGATAACATTTCTGCGTGTTTTTGAAAACTTGGGTTCCGAAGCACGATGAGGTTACCTTCGACCATCAAAGAACGAATTTGAAAATTGCCATCGTGAATTTCGTTTCAATTTTCAATGCAATGTATCACGTCCAATAAAATATAAATTTACTAATTGCTACTGTGATCGGCATTGTACTCGGATAGCAAGTAATGTTTTCAAAATCTGATTGGATACCAAATCAGGAAGATCAATAGCTTACGGTCTGCATAATTTAGTCAGATTGAATCAATAATCAAATTAATGATGTCATAATTAAATTAAAAAATTATATATATATATATATAATAATCTAAATATAAGAAATAAATATAAAATTGATACTCAACTTAAAAATAAAATAAAATATTTTAAATTTATTATCACTTAACAAGCCACATGATACAATATAATATCAAATGATTAAAAAAATTGGGCATTTCCTAAAAAAAATTAAAAAAAGATTTTTTTTAAAACAGTTCAGTTTTTTTAAAATTGAATCCGATTCCGAATCTGATTGTCGGTTTAAAATGGTCCAACCTCCAAAATATTTTTTACTTTTTACATGCTGATCAAGTCAAAATCAAGACTCATCGACAATCAGACTAGTCTAATGTTTTAATCACTAGTAGCAAGTGTTGTGTACGTATAAAGAAATTCAGTTCGTGTAGCCCTAGAGTTGCACAGTAGAATTTCCAATCTAGTTTAATTTTGGTGTGACATGAATGGACTTGGCTCCCATCTAAATTTACTCATTCAATAAATATCTTAATTATAACTATTAAATTTTAGTAATGTTTGAAATGATTCAATGTTCTCCAAAATTTCAAAACAACAATTTACAGTTACTTGGTTATATGAAACATTTGTTATCATGTGATGAGGAATGCTCATTGAACCAGTGAACTTATACCACTTAATTCATTCAAATATGATATGAATGAAGTAATTTTTAAAAGAAGAACTAGAAAAGAAAAGGAACAAGGAAAATATTGTATACCAATTAAACAATTAGGATAAAAATTTATTTCTCATCCTCCCTTCCTCAATCTTGCTTTGTCTTTTTTTTTTTTTTTTGATGAAATCTTCCTCTATTACACATGGAACATGATATAGAAGTGTTTATCAATCATCACCCCGCCAGGGCAGTATTTTTCCAAACACAGGTTTATGAGTTTTAAATTAGACGCCCATGAGAAACACATACTTAATTATCCATATTTAATGTTCAATCCTAGCCTTCGGCCTCAGTTCAGTCCCCTATCCTTAAGTGTTGACGAATGAATATATGTTCTGTTTCAACAAATATAATGATTATTTTTTAAATTTTCAATCATTGGATTTAAACACATACTTATCCATATCTCCTGTTTTGATTAATTGAGATTTGGAAGCGAAACTATCATATACTCACATACTCCACTCGTTTAAAAATATAAAATATTTTTAACAGAATTTTACCACGCAATAAAATAATTACCTACTTTAAATTAACCTTATATTTTTATATTTACTCCTATTAAACACTCTATAATAAATATAAAGTTATTCATCGATAGAGGCACTTAAAAAAAGTAATACTTACCATGGTATTGAAACTTGGACTGGACCGGCCGGGGTCAACCCAAAAATTGGTGACTCGGTCCCTTGTTCGGTTTGGGTTTACTCATAAACCGGTGAGGGAATGAACCGGTATAACCCGATCAACCCGAGTTCAACCCAGTATAACCCAGTGGGTTGACTGGGTTAACCAAGTTTTTTTTTGAATTTTTTTATTTTTAATTTTTCAGAGTGCTGAGTTCAGATATAAGATAACAAAAAAAAAGTGAAACTA